TAACAGCTGGTCCTAGCGAATAGGTGTGAACTGGTAGAATCCCACCCCTGCTGATGATGTTACCTAGTTTGGGTAATGAAACATCTGCAAGAAAAAGACCTAGCTCAGGGAGCACCAAGGACCCCTCATTTCAACCTGGAGCTACAAATATTCTCTTTTATTGGTACAGTAGTAACTTGTGACAGCTGTAAAGTGGGTCGCCATGTGACTGGACCCATTTTTATGACTTTTTTGGTGACATTCATTAAGGGGATGCCATGGTCGTTAAGCAAATCCATTGTTTGCTATGGGCTGGTTTTTGTGGGAAACCAAAAGTAAACGCTGTTTTCCAGCAAAAACATAAATTGTGGTCACAAGATGCTACATACAGGTGTAAATGTTTGGGCTAGTTGCCAAAGATTCAAAATGTAGTCATGTGACTGGGGGGCAACATCAGAACATTAAAACTGGGTCATATGTTCCTTTGGGGAGGTTCCGTCATAACTTTGAATGATCACTATGTGACTGGTCATAAGTGTGGATTATTTGTATTGCAAGGACTCGCTTTTGAGAAGAGTAAAGTAAGTTTTAAAAAACCAGACTATTTGCTTTAAATTCTACCGTAGGAAACAGTTTACAAAATCTTCATCTCCCAATGCTCTTAAACCAAAATATGGATTCCTTCATATTTGTTCAGATTTCAGATGATGAATTTAATGAGACTTCTCAGAGCTTCCCAATCTGACGGTGTCCATGTTTGAAAATGAAATTTACTCCATTGAATTGCAGGAAAACATTGTCCTTGTTGGCTTAAAAATATTAACATAGCTGAAATTGAACTCTCCGGTCCCTGAAAGGAGACATTTTCATCTTTTCAAACTACATTAACTTAAGGTACTTTATTAGATGTTTTTTGTATGCAGCCTTTCTCTTCAGACAAAAAGAAAAAACTCAGGCATTCTACTCAAGTATATCTCATCAAAAGACATCTTGGGGGATGTCAAGAAGTTAAAAGGGTAGCAACAATCATGAGATAGAAACCTCATTCATTTGAATTCTGGTGATGTTCCATGGGGTTTGGACCTGTGAAATAAGGGCGGATTGGGATGCAGCCCAGAAGGCATCCTCAATCACTGAGCAATTGTAAAAAAAAAAATCCTAATTGGATTGTCTTTAGAAAGCATAAACATCTCTTCCAAGGTAGTGCATGAATGCCCCATCCAGAGTTCAAGAAAGTTGCTGCTTTCGTTAGCGATAGCAATAGCACTTAGACTTATACAGGTAGTCCTCGGCTTACGACCACAACTGAGCCCAAAATTTATGCTGCTGAGTGAGAAATTTGCTAAGTGAGTTTTGCTCCATTTTACGACTTTTCTCGCCACATTTGTTTTAAGTGAATCAATGCAGTTCTTAAATTAGTCACACGGTTGTTAATTGAATAGAGTTTCCCCCCATCGTTTTTGCTTGTCAGAAGGTCGCAAAAGGAGATCACATGACCCTGCTTCATTGCAACCGTTGTAAATGTAAGTCAGTTGCCAAGCATCCGAATGTAAATCGCATGACCATGGGGATGCTGCAATGGTCATAAGCGTGAAAAATGGTCATAAGTCCCTTTTTTCAGTGCCATTGTAACTTTGAATCTGGGCCCTGATTTTATTGACCTCGGAAGGATGGTACGCTGGGTCAATCTTGAGCTGGACAGGATCGAACTGCTGGCAGTTGGCAGAGTTAGCCTGCAATATTGGATTCTAACCACCGTGCCACCATGGCTCATTAATAGGGTGCATATTATCAGCTGATAAAACAAATTTGGTTAACCAGCTAAGATTTCTTACAACCAGCTGAAATAACTCTTTCCCTCTAGTATTCATGTATGGTAAATGTATACACCTTTATCCCATCCTAATCCATTACTCCCAATATCCTTCCTACCCCACAAAGCCTCTGTAGCTGAGCCCCTACATAGGCTCCTAGACAAGGAGGTCTCCTGGCACTGGGGACATAAAGAAGCCAACGCTTTCCAGGCACTGAAGTCACTGTTAACCTCAAACGCAGTGTTAGTTCAATTGAACAAGGACTTGCCCCTAGTACTCGCCGCTGATGCCTCACCTTTTGGGATAGGAGCAGTTTTAAGCCACAGGCTTTCAAATGGATCTGAGGCACCCATTGCCTATTTTTCAAGACCATTCTCTACTGCTGAGAAAAATTACAGCCAGATCGATAAGGAGGCTTTGGCAGCTGTAGCTGCTGTAAAAAAGTTCCATGAGTTTCTCTTTTTTTTGAACTGGTAACTGACCACAAACCTTTGTTAGGACTGTTAGCTGGTGACAAACAAACCCCACAGGTACTTTCCCCGAGAATGACCAGGTGGACACTTTTTTTGGCCGCTTATTCATACACCTTGATCCATCGTCCTGGAATAAACCTGAGCCACGCAGATGCCCTCAGCAGGTGCCCCCTGCCTACACCAGTCGAGGACCCAGCTCCCATCCACACAATCTTCAAGTGCACGGGACTGGACCTCCCACTTTCAGCCGGGGATGTTGCTGCGCACTCAAAAAAAGATCCATTGATTTCCCAGGTCCTGGACTGGGTGGGAAGGGGGTGGCCAGATATACATTTTGCCCCTGATTTAATCCCCTTTAAGATTCGCAAGCAGGAGTTGTCTGCATTACAGGGCTGTCTGTTATGGGGAACAAGGGTGGTCATTCCTGCCTCCTTGCAAGAACCAGTTCTAAAAACACTGCACGAGGGTCATCCGGGCATGGTAAGGATGAAGGCCTTGGCCCGCAGCTACGTTTGGTGGGCAGGACTAGATGCCCAAATTGCCAGCTGGGTCAACGCATGCCAGGCCTGCCAGGCGACAAGAGCAGCTCCACCCATAGCTACACCCACCAGGTGGGAAGATGCAGGGGCACCCTGGGCCAGGCTACATATTGACCTAGCTGGCCCCATGCTGGGGAAAACATTCTTGGTGGTAGTGGACTCGTTTTCCAAATGGACTGAAGTAGCCATGCTGTCTTCCACCACAACTCAAGCCATCACTAGGGTTTTGACCAGACTGTTTGCTACTCATGGACTGCCAGACACCTTGGTGTCAGATAACGGGCCTCAATTCAGCTCAAATGAATTTGCCATCTTCACTGCCAACCTGGGCATCAGGCATGTCCTTACAGCCCCCTTTCACCCCGCCAGTAATGGGATGGCAGAGAGGGCTTTTAGGTCAGCCAAGGAAGTTTTGGCCAAACTGAGGCAGGCAGACTGGCACTCCAAGCTGTCCACTTACCTACTCACGCAACATGCCACGCCATGCCCCACAACCAACAAGTCACCTGCTGAACTTTTGATGGGCAGGCGACTCCGAACCACCCTGGACAGGTTGCACCCCCACTACTCCCCCAGCACACCCCTGGCATCTGACAGCCATGCCAGGGGCTTTGCCCTGCAAGACCTGGTTTATGCCAGGAACTATGCAGGGCACCCGTTATGGCTGCCAGGGCGGATAGTTTCTATTACAGGGCCCAGGTCTTACAGAGTCCTCCTGGAAGATGGGAGAACCTGGAGGAGGCATATCGACCAGCTCAGGAGACGTTGGACCTCGCCTGCCGCCGAAAGCCTGGACAACCCGCCGCCGAGCCACCCGGTCTACTCGCCGCCTGCCGCAGCCGTCCCGCAGAACTACCCGGTCTACCAGAGGCCCGACTTCCCAGCCAGCCGACCACCGCAGGAAGACTCACCAGAGCCGACTCCAGATAGCAGGTCCGGACCGGCCGTCAACCCTCCGCAGACGCCTGGCACCGCCGGAGAAGACAGAGACTGTGTTGCAGCCCCCAAGCCTCCAGAGCCGCGGAGGACAAGCCGCGAACGAAGGCCGCCATTGTGGCTACAGGACTACGCATGCGCGCGACCAGGGGGAAGGAGTGTTATGTATTAAGAACCTGCCTGAAGTTCTCCTTCTGGTCCGCCATCTGAGCGGGAGCGCCGATCGCTCCCATTGGCTGATGCCGTTTGACAGCCGGCTATAAAAGGGAGCTGTCAAACGGCATCAGCTGTCACCGCCAGCTGGCTGTCAGATTGCCTCTGAAGCCGCGGCGACCCTTTATTCATTGAATAAAGTATGTTAGCCTAGCCCTGGCTTAGTCTCCCTTCTGTAACCGCCGCTCTACAACATTAGTGATGTTGAGTTGGCCACACCCAGCCAATAACATGACCACCAAGCCATGTCCACCCAGTCACATGACCACCAAGCCACGCCTACCACCTAAGCCACGCCCACAGAACTGGTTGTTAAAAAATTTGAATCCCACCCCTGATCATCAGTGCTAGTCAATCTAGAACTGATATTACATAGACCAGCATTGATGATGTCAGTTTGGGTAATGAAACATCTGCAAGAAAACAACAAGCTGAGAGAACACCAAGGACCAGGGGTGGGCTGCTGGGGGTTCACAGGGGTTCGGGAGAGCCCCTAGCTAAGATTCTATGCAGTTCGGAGGACCCCCACATCCCACTGCTCTCTGGCCCCACCCACTACTTCCCTCCCTTCCCCTGAGTCCCCACGCGGCCCATTTTGGATACACGGAAGGGAAGGACACACACGGAAGCTCAGGGAGGGCGAAAAACGGGCCTCCTGGAAGTTGGGGAAGACCAGAAATGGGCCTGTTTCTAGCTTCCAGAGAGCCTTGGGAGACCTGGGAGGCCGTTTTCGCCTTCACAGAGGCTTGAGGAAAGCCTCCGGAGCCCGGGGAGGGCAAAAATGCCCCCGCCCCCCGCCATGGTGCAGGAGGCCAACTAGGCCTTGCCCCCCATGGCCACGCCCACCCAGCAACCAGAAAGACAACCCGTTGCTAACATTTTTTGAAGCTCACCCCTGCCAAGGACCCTTATTGCCAAGCTCAACTACAGTCATAACTTGAGGATGACCTATATAAGTGGCTAAGGTGCTGGACCAAGAGCAAAGAAACACAGATTCTTGGGTCCAGAAGCCAGCTGAGAAATCCAACCAATGTTGGCATTACACAATTTTCTGTTTGAAGTCTGAATACCAGCTTGGTCTCTTCAGACCTGTTTTTGGAAGACCAAATGATGGGGTGGGGGTGTGTGAAATCACTCACCCTGGGACTCCTGGAAGTTGATAAGCTACTGACTGTTGCAATTTATGGCTCTGTAATTGTCCTGTTTTTTTAAGCACTGCTCCAATTTTAATTCTGCTCTCTTTCGCAATTCTTTCCTTCAACTGGTACCTTGTAAATAAAGAGCAAAATAAATGTGATAAGATGGATCACCTAGTTGTTGTGCAATGGTGGAAAATCCCAGCTTTCCTCTCTGAACTGCTCTTCCTCTAACGGGGGAGAGCTTTGGGGTCACCTTCAAGGGGTAAAGGAATCACACATGTGGGTCACCCTCTTCAAACAGCCCCTCCCCACCTTAATCCAACCCATTCTGCTTCCCTTTGAACTCTTGAAAGAGGGAACTTAATCCTGTGTCCAAATCACACCAGGGTGAACAGTCTACCAGATTATTGGCAACTCTCAAAGATTGACAGTTCTTACCTCATCAAGTCTTCTCCAATTTTTTCCTACTGTGAAATAGCATTTTTCCTCTTCCCCATCCTCTCTTTTCTCACTTCTCTTCCCCCCCCCCGTTTTTTTTTTTTTGTCATAGAACGCTCCTTTTTTTAGAGAGTGCCTCTTTTAGTGGCCATTCGCAGTAAGAATCATGATGAAAAACTACTCCTTGCATTTATGACCTTTTAGTTCTGCAAAGCAAAGGAACACTGAAGTAAGAGCAAAAGCACACTTGCCGTTTCACTTAGTGACCACTTTACTTAATGACATTTTCGGTCCCAACTGTGGTCCCTAAATGAGGACTGCCTGTAGTTTCTTGGATATGTTTGGTCAACTTCATTACTCTACAATATGAAAAGTGCTATTACATTTTTTTTGGTTACACAAATTTTGCAACATTATTATGCCTCCCTGGTTACTCACACTTTCCAAATCAGAAAAGTCCACTTCTAAATACACATACACAAGCACACACACACACACACACACACACACACACACATCATTTCTTGGCCAAAGTAAGTAAAAGCAAGCCTATATGGATAATTTTATTGAAATATTTTTCTGTTTTACAAAAAGAAGCCAATGAAATTATATTTCCTATTAAATAAAATTGATTCATGGAAGTTTACCGTACCTATCACCTGCTAGAAATATTTTCCTCTTACATTGAGAAATTAATACCTACTAAATTACTTTCCTTTCCTTTCCTTTTTTCTTTGGAAAAGTTGAACAGAAGCTTTGGCTTCTCCAACCTTTGTTCACTTTGAAAATAAATTTATTTGGAAGAAAGAATAGGGCATTATTGATTTCATGGAATTAAAAAAAAAAACTATTGATGGAAACCCTGCCACTGCTGAAGATATTTTGCAAAAGAAATGGTTCCAAATTCCAATTTGGTTTTTTAAAAAAACTTCACCCCATTTGAAGATCGTAGTGTTCTTTCTTGACACAGAAAGACGTCAAGAATTCATAATAAAATAGGTTACACGATATTTCCTTCTTAAATTGCACTACTGCATATATATTTGAGAGCCAGTTTATGTAGTGTTAAGGCATTAGGCTAGAAACTGGGAGACTGTGAGTTCTAGTTCCACCTTGGGCATGAAGCTAGCTGGGTTACCTTGAGCCAGTCAACTTTCTCTCAATCCTACCGAGGCAATAGCACACTATTTCTGAGAAAAACCTTGCCAAAAAAACTGCAGGGGACTTGTCCAGGCAGTGTCTTGAGAATCAGACACTATTGAATGGAAGAAGGAATACAGGTAGTCCTTGACTCATGAACTGTAATTGGGTCTGGCAGTTTATAATTGTTAAAGCATGATGATTGCAAAGCAGGTCATCCCGTGACGGACCCAAATTTTACCACCTTTTTTGGGCTGCAATCCTTAAGCAAATGCAGCAGTCATAAAGCAAATGCCAGAGTTCTTAAGTGAACAGGTGGTCATTAAGCAAACCCTTGCTTTGCTATGGGCTGATTTTTTCTGGAAATCAGAAATAAAATACGGGCTTCTAGCAAAAACATTGTAAATTGTGGTCAGATGACCGGCCTGGGGCACTGCAAAGGGCCTAAAATGTGGTCTGATTGTCAACTGTCCAAAATGCAGTTATGTGATTGCAGGGGGGTACAATGTTGGAACTTCAAAATCAAATCTCAAGGGGCCTTTTTGGGGAGGGGATTTATCATTCTGAACAGTTGATAAACAACTAGTCACAAGTTGAGGACGTGTGTGTGTGTACCAGAGGTGGTATTCAGCAGGTTCTTACCTGTTCTGGAGAACTGTAGCAAAAATTTTGAGTAGTTGGGAGAACTGGCAAATCCCACCTCTGACTGGCCCCGCGCCCATCTATTCTCTGCCTCCCAAGTCCAGCTGATCAGTTGGGTCTTCTTTGGTTGCCCTGCACAGGAGAATGGAGCTGGAAAGCAGGTTAGTGTGATGGGGAGGGAATGGGGATTTTGCAGTATCCTTCCCCTGGGGTGGGGTAGGAATGGAGATTTTACAGTATCCTTCCCCTGCCACGCCCACCAAGCCATGCCCACAGAACCAGTAGTAAAAACTTTTGAATCCCACCACTGGTGTGTGTGTGTGTGTATGTGTGTGTGTCCTTTGAAGATTCAAAAATAAATTCATACATCTGACCATCTTTAACCAGTGATACCGAGTCTTGTCTTTTTCTTTTTCTTGCGACGTTTTTGAAGAAGTTGAGAAAAATCACCCAACAATCTTTCAAAATGAATCCCACTATTGATTTGTTCTCTTGATTTCCTTAGGCATATACAGTGATGCAATGCAAAACAACAACAACAACAAAAAACCTGGCTCTCTTCCATTTTGCTCTAGTTGGAAAGAAATGTAACTGAACCCTGACTGAAACGTGAAATCAGACATAGCATAGAAAAAAATAAACGCCAGGGTTCACCCGATGAACCGATCAGAAAACTATTTAAACCAAAAAAGAAAGTATTTTGTCACACTCTGCAGGATTAATTTGTGGCATTAATATCACCATAAAAGGTGCTGATGGACACTAAACTGGAGATTTGAAAGCTGATTGGATTATCGTTGTGAAAAGCAGATCCATCAAAAGTTTATTCATTTGAAAAGGTTGGGAAAACCCATATATTTAAATTGTAGCTGTAGAGTATCTCCTTTTTGGAGTATCTCCTTTTTGTGAGTAACGTTTATTTATATCCCACCTTTATTATTTTTTATAAATAACTCAAAGATGGCATATAATATTTCCTATTTTCCTCACAACCACCCATGTAAGGTGGGTTGGGCTGAAGGGTTGTGACTGGCCCAAAATCACACAACTAGCTTTCATGCCTAAGATGGGGCTAGAACTCACAATCTCCCAGTTTCTGGACCAGTACCTTAAGCACCAGACCAAACTTGGAGCATCTGGCTAGTTACTGTGAGAAACCAAATGCTGGACCCAGAGGCTCTGTGGCATATTCTTATTTTTTTTTAATGCCCCGTTGTTTACTAACAAGTTTGTTATCAGAAAACACCCAAAAAGTAAATTACAACAGCAGTAGTTAAACACATAAGAAATTGCTCTAGCTGAAATATGAAAGGAGCAATAAACAACTGTGAAAGACTGAAACTGTTAACGTGAAGGATTTACTCAAAATTAGTTTTATTTATTAGCAAAAATAACAAAGTTTTCACATATGCAGTTATTTATATATTTACATTGGTTTCCAGAATGTCCAGTTCTGAATGACAATAGATGCTTTACATAATAATAAAAAAAAAACCAGAACAGTAAAAGAGAAACAAATGATATGTATCCAGAAACGCCAAATAGAGCAGCAGCACAAAATCATACTGAAAAATATATTTAAATACTCAGGTTTTCAATTCCTTAATAGAACATTGTTCTTGAATATAATATATTAACTTTTTCTATAGAAATATCACCTTATATAGATGTTCAAAATGTTTATATTTGTCCTTAAAATGACATACATATCACCAAAAAAATCACCATTTTATTTTAGCGGGAGATTGATCAATGATCAGAGAAACTCAACTAGCATTCACATTAGCATATTTTTGGCATTAGGCAAATATAGTTTTCCCAAGCTTTTAAATAATATTTTAACTGTATTCAATATATTAATATGTGCAGTCTTTGCAGGCCTATAAAGCAAAGGAAAGCTGAAATAAGCATAGCCATGGTTACACATAGCAACAACCAAGTTGGTTCCAATATGTGGTCACTAAATGAGGACTACCTGTATTTTGTGTCTTTATTTGATTTTATTGGATATGTTTTAACTGAAATGGTGTTTTAGTGTCTTGTAACTATAAACACATTAAACCTGGGTAGCTTAAAACCTAAATAAAATTGGGCCAAATCCCCTTGTCAGCAGATGTTGAACACTTTAATTGCCATCTCCAAAGATAAAAGTCAACCACAGGCACCACAAGAACAATGTGCCAAGAAGGCTAACTTCCAATAGTCAAGGCTTGGGCTGATTCTTTGCAACCATCAGGATCCCAAATAGGATGAAAATAGCCCTCTCAAAACGGGCTGAACCACCATGGATCTATTCTTTCTGTTACTTTTCTCTCCCCCCGCCCCCACTTTATTTTGCTGGCTCTGGAAGGCAGAAAACGCTGGACAGAAACTCCTAATCTTTTTACATCTGCATTTAAAACAAAACAAAAAAAATGAAAACAAGATTATCCCCTAATCTTGTATCCTCTGCATGTTTTCCTTCCTCAAATTTGTGGATCTTGAGGAAATGTCTCAGAAGGTCTTTGGGCCCAGGCTGTTACTTTTTTCTGACTATACGGCACCATTTCTATTTTCTCCAACCAGATTTTGTAGAGATAGGTAGCAGCCATGGGAATTCTTTAAAGAATATACTAGTTTTTAATTTTGTTCCTGTACTTTTATACACTTTCACGTATTTACTTAAGTGGCATTTAATACTATTAATGTTTTTTTTAAATATGGGTATACGTTTTTAAATACCCAATAATGTTCTCCGCAGAATCTACTTCGCACGTTGTTTATAACCTTTAGTGTGTTGATCCAACCTCCCCTTAATCACCTCCAGCCAGCCATGTTGGCCGAGGACGATGGTCCTGCGATCCAACACTTTTCGGAGAGCACCCGAGAAAAACTGCATGGTCATGACAAGGATCGTGAGGGGAGGGGGGAATAATTAAGGCCCTCAAAACCCGCGGCGATCACACCCGATGCAGTTGCTGCGTTAGATCAGGAGCAGCTCTTCCTTCCACGCACATGGACTTTCGGCCTCTTGACTGCTTCTGTCTCCCCACCTCCCCATCGCCGACCACAAAAATGTTGTAATTACGTTAATGGGATAGGCACGGCTCTGGCGGAGAGAAAGGGGGAAGAGGAGGAGGAGGAGGATCTTTTTAACTCAAAGAGAGCCAACTCGAGCGAGAGCAAAGAAAAGAAGCGGAACTGACTTTAGCCAGAGTTCGCTTAGGGAGCGTCTCCAAAGAGCCAAACCCACCGCCTTCAATTAACGGGCTTCTACCGACTCCACCCCGCTTTCCCTCGCGGAGGTATTAAAGGCGCTAGAGCTGTGCGAGGAAGGAAATATATATTTGTTTTTGCGGGTATTTGTATGTGGATCTTTGGTTATTCGGGTTTTCTCCCGCTTAAAATTGGAAGTATCTTGGCAACGTTTCGACCAAATCTCATCCGTCATCTTCAGGCTTGTGTCTTAGGCTTTGTGCTTCTCGGAGTAAGCACACACTTCTCAAAATATCTATCTATCTATCTATCTATCTATCTATCTATCTATCTATCTATCTATCTATCTATCTATCTATCTATCTATCTATCTATCTATCTATCTATC